TTGGAGAGGCTCCCGGTGTGTTTTGTTGTTTTTACTTATAGAGGCAATATTTCAGAGCAGAACAAACAGACCTTATGGGCCAACTTGTGGCAAGGGAGGATTCTGCAAAATGGTACTGTATGAATTTCTTTGATGGGTTTCCCAAACCTGCCTTTGTTTAGTTTGCAGATTTGTTAAATATTGATTATTTAAATTTTTAGGAATGAAAGAATGGTCAGTGGTTGAGATGGTTCACTGCTTTATCTTTTGAAGGGGCCAAGAGAAATTTATTTATTATACAATATAACGCGGTTGATGATTGTAAAACGAAAATTAAAAATTATACCGCGAATGTTTCTTTTAAAAATCAAAATTTATTTTCAAAGAGAAATAGCGACATTTCTAACTTTGAGGATGAGGTATGGAAAGGTGAAACATGAAGAGTAATGGAGAACGGAAAAATAAAAAGTGTCTAGGGGCGGGAATTTTTATTTTTCCGTTCTCCATTACTCTTCATGTTTCACCTTTCCATACCTCATCCTCAAAGTTAGAAATGTCGCTATTTCTCTTTGAAAATAAATTTCGATTTTTAAAAGAAACATTCGCGGTATAATTTTTAATTTTCGTTTTACAAATTTATTTATTAAAAAAAATCCATCTAAAATTGTATTTGTTATTCAGAGATATGGAGAGAGAAAGCCAAGTAGCCAATGTATGCAGTTTGTGGGTTATAGAGGTTTTGTATGAAAATTCTGACCATATTTAATATCTTTTCTATTGGTATGCCATCTTGTTCCATGTCTTAGATATGCTGCATATGGGTTCTCTCAATCCATATAATGATTTTTAAAAATTAAAACACATGGAATTTTATAAATACAGTAGATGATATGGCACAATTTAGATTATAGATTATAAACACAAGGTGAGAGACCAAATCCAAATAAATAAATTGATAAAAATATATATTATTTATTTGGTCTTATTACCTTGTGTTTATAAATACATGAGAGAACATCTCTCTATGAAGTACATTTTGGCTCTGTAACTAGGTGTTCTTTATAGAGGTTCTATTGTATTGTGTATTTTTCAAAATAAATCATAAAAATAGCTTACATTAATATACACATAGATTTTTAAAAATTCAAATCATTAGATTTTCTAGCCATCAAATATACTTTTTCATTCTTCTTTAATTTTATGCTATTTCTCTTTCACATTTAAAAATTATTTCTCTTTTTTTTTCACTAACATTTTAATTTTTATCCTTTCTCTAGTTTTCTATATAAACATTGCTGTCAACCTGCAGTAGAACTTCTCAGGAGACAACCAACCACCGAACAATGCCTTCTGGTTCACAGACAGAGTTCCTGGTCAAATCTTTTATTTTATTTTATAAAGTTGGTATCTGCTCATGAGAAGTTATACTGCATCTCTAAGGGTGGAGAAATAAGTGTGGGATCTTTTAATCTTTAAATTTTTATAATTTTTTTTCCCTCTTTGTTCACCCATTCCTTTCCCCTCTTTGTACTAGGTGTACTAAATAACATGGTTTTACACTAAACTGCATTGTATTGTTTGCATGAGAAATTTTGTTGTCTCTCTAAGATAATGTAATGGAAAAAGAAACTAACTTATTAATGATGTTATAAATTTGCCCTTTACCTATATGTGATGTGTTTACAATGTTTTATTATATAAGATTTGATGAGGCACAATTTGGATTATAGATTATAAACACAAGGTAATAAGACCATATCCAAATAAATAGTGTGTGACATTTCGGTTGTTACCATCATCAGACAAAAGTACTTAATGAGAAAATTTATAATTTATTTCATCTCAGTTCACAGGTGTTACATTCGAGTCATCTTGTCCTGGCTATTCACACAGTTGGTGGAGTAGAGGTGACCTCCCTCCCAGACCTTGCAGCTGTTGGGTGATGAGCTCCTAACTAAGTGTAATGAGAAACTATCTTTATTTACTGGGCTGCTAACCAAAATAAATGATTTTTGAGCCCCAATGGCCGCGTAAAGCGGAATATATAAAACCCCTATGACCAGGGTAGAGAGGCTAAAGACAGGATCACCGTCAGGGAAGAGGCAGGTTAGGCCGGAAATAATGAGAAAATATATCACAGCATGTTTTAAATATTTACTATTATCAAGTGTGTAAACAAGATAACAGATAAGAAGATAGTATTTTAAGGTTCTAAGAAAACTATCTTCTTCTTATCTGCTATCTTGTTTACACACTTGATTACTGTAACCATTTAAAACATGCTGTGATATATGTTTTCATTAAGTATTTCTGTTACCAAAACATCACACACTATTTATTTATTTGTATTTGGTCTTATTACCTTGTGTTTATTTAAGTTATGTTTCTTTTAAGTGAGAGAGACATAACTATCAAATTAAGAAAAAGGCTTCTTCTTATCGTGCAACTGAAAGTTGCTGATGGCTTGCGCCATCTATCGGAATAAATATCAACTATTCTCGTTGATTTTTAATTATTCCAGAATTGGCCAAATACCCATTCTTGATTAATCAAGAAAAGCTAACCATGGACGCGTTTCGGGCTGTTGGCCCTCATCAGCGTGGTGCAAGCTGTACCTCAACGACCAAAAAAAAAGGTCATTAAGGCATCCTGAAAAATTATGAAACGGGTAGTTAAGGCCAGAATTGCATGAGAACGCCACACAATGTGAAAAAATAGTACAAATGTAATATTGTACTGGGATAAGGTGCATAAATTAAGAAAAAGGCTTCTTCTTATTGAGCAACTGAAAGTTGCTGATGGGTATTTGACCAATTCTGGAATAATTAAAAATCAACGAGAATAGTTGATATTTATTCCGATAGATGGCGCAAGCCATCAGCAACTTTCAGTTGCTCGATAAGAAGAAACCTTTTTCTTAATTTATGCACCTTATCCCAGTACAATATTACATTTGTACTATTTTTTCATAACTATCAAAGTTTCTCCTGTTAATAAGCTTCGATATGTCCGGTCATTTTTTTTATATATTACAATGGTGGCCCCTCGTAACACTCTCAATAACTGGATCTTGGGCTGGGAACATGAAAATTAGTCCCAATATTTGCAATTATCTTAATTATAAAAATAAATTTCTTTTGTATTTATGAGGTTAGAGAATATTCCAAATATACATATTGGTTATCTGGAACTACTCTATTGATAATTTGTATTAATGTGTTGACCTTGCTAGCTGGAGTGGATGGAATCATTTTATTTAATCATATTTTTTATTTGTCTTTGGATAAAGCAACTTTTGCATTAGATGAAAATAGACAAATTCTGTATGAAGTTACAGTCGTTGAATTGTTATTGAACTTTTTGCATCTGTTTCTTCACACAAGTGTACAAGATATATCTGAACAAAGGAATTAAAAATTCCCACTCTCAATACAAAGGTCTTTTTTTTTTTTTTGCTTATCCCTAGTACACGTGGTACAGGCCATGATAATCATGGTGGGTAGTTAGCGACTGTTTTTTTACTGTAAGCGCACCACATGTCTACACATGTGAAAAGCAGTTCGACTTTGCACTTACAAATGTGCCAGAGCCCCGTTTGGTTACTTGCACTCGCTGGTGGGGTTGGACTTTTGCAAGAATCGGGGGGCCATTGGAGCATTTTTTTTTTTTTTAAACAGAAAAAGTGTCCAATGCGGGATTCGAACCCGGGTCGTAGTGGTCGAAAACTAAACAGTTTAACCAGCCTTCCACCGACCCCCCATACAAAGGTCTGGTGATGGTAGAGAGGTGATGACAAAACTCCTAGTTTACCTATTAGGTCTTGTTGTTTGTATAATCATGTTATATTCACATGCTTACTGAGAGCTTGAACTGGCATTTATAGTTAGTTATCCAAATTTTTGTGTGAGATTAAAAATAATAATTTGGGGGGTTGGTGGAAGGCTGGTTAAACCGTTTGGTTTTCGACCACTACGACCCGGGTTCAATTCCCGCATTGGACACTTTTTTCTGTTTAAAAAATAATAAAAATGCTCTAATGGCCCCCGATTCTTGCAAAAGTCCAACCCCACCAGCTAGTGCAAGTAACCAAACGGGACTCTGGCACATTTGTAAGGGCAAAGTCGAACTGCTTTTCACATGTGTAGACATGTGGTGCGCTTACAGTAAAAAGCAGTCGCTAACTACCCACCATGATTATCATGGCCTGTACCACGTGTACTAGGGATAAGCAAAAAAAAAAAAAGAATAATAAGGTACAATTTGGATTATAGATATTAAATAAAAGATAACAAAACCACTTTGCTGTTGCCAAAATGTCACTTATAATTATTTATTTGGATGTTTTGTTTGAAATTATAAGAGTACACACACACTTCAAATAATTGTGTTGGTTAATTGTGTTGGTTACAAGTACTTGAGATATTTTCCTTGAAATTCACAAGTTTGAGTTTCTTCTATGCCAAAAATGTAAACATTTTAGTTTTGAGCAAAGCTTTCTATACATTTTCTTTATAGAGTAAAGCTCTATGTATTTTTTTTTTTGTGTTTTTCTCTTATAGAGAGAGAATCTTTAAATTGTGCTGGGGATTATGAATTTAAGAAAGAGATTTGGTAGTGTTTTTACTGTTATTTGATTGTTGTACCTTTATAACACATCATTTGTGACTTGAAACAATTCTCTCTTTAAAGGAGGGTCAAGAAACTCGTACAATTGCCACTTATGTGATAGTTGGAGCTATTCCAGTCTAATCTCACTTCCTAAAACCCTGCAGATTTTAAAAACCTTGATTTTTTTTTTGCTTATCCCTAGTACACGTGGTACAGGCCATGATAATCATGGTGGGTAGTTAGCGACTGCTTTTACTGTAAGTGCACCACATGTCTACACATGTGAAAAGCAGTTTGACTTTGCACTTACTAATGCCAGAGCCCCATTTGGTTACTTGCACTCGCTGGTGGGGTTGGACTTTTGCAAGAATCGGGGGCCATTGGAGCATTTTTTTTCTTTAAACAGAAAAAAGTGTCCAATGCGGGAATCGAACCCGGGTCCTAGTGGTCGAAAACCAAACGGTTTAACCAGCCTTCCACCGTAATGAGAGCTGATTTTATAAAACCGGAAATTTCTCTGGTTCCTTAGCTTGTTCTGAAATTGAGAGTCAATTGTTTTCCTCATAAATACTGCAGCAGATCATTACAACACTAGTCGACATGTAACTAGACATGTAATGTACTAGAGCATTATAGCAATAGGTTTATAGTGTAGGGATGACCTATCCATACAGCCAGGTGTGTTGACAATCATGTTTCTCCAGGTCCCCCCGCCAGACTCAATAAGCCTGCACGACCCATCCCAAACAAGGACCGCACCATAATGGATCGTTTCTTAGACATGTTGGCTGGCGATGGACCTTCCAACCGCTTTGCCCTCATCTGTACGAACTGCTACGGACACAACGGCATGGCTCTTAAAGAAGAATTTGAATATGTTGGTAAGTAACAGATCTGTTACCTCCTCTGACTAAATTTGAAACAATTTTTTTACCTTTTTTTTTTATAATTAAAAAAAAAAAAAATTCAAAAGACATTAGCACAATGCAGTCTAGAGATCTCACCAATAATGAGTTATACCCTCCCATTTCAATCTTTTATCATTGCAGTATAAGGTCTGTAGAAATAGTTCTTAATTATCAAAAAAGATTGCTAGTAGTTTGCCTCAATTTTATCTGCTCTAGAGGACATTGCAATGATGATATTTGTTACCTATGTATGGAAGAAGAGTTCTGTCATATCAGGGATTCAGGGGTAGCTCAGTCTTCTGTCCACCATCCCAAATTGTAGTTTGTAAATCCATGATGATATACTGTTGCCCACACTATCTCATTGTTGTGAATCCCTAGTTCAACATCCTTAGCCTCTTCTGAAAACACTTAGTCTGGCCCAGTCATATCTTTATATAATGCTGAACATGTTGTTAGTGTCCATCAAGTCAAGTTCGACCCTTGGTGACCCTTGGCAGAGCTGACTGCTATAGGGCGCGTCCCCAGGTGGTGGATAGGGGAACGACCTTCAGATATGAAGGCCAGTTGCGAAACAAGCAGAATAACTGACGAATAAGCAGTCGCGGACCAACAGCAGCATTGTTAGAAGAGGAGTAGACCTCTTTAAAAATCCTGACTTCAACTGACCCAGTTGATAGACCTCAGCAAGGGTCCCACTCCAGGGATACAGAGGAGCTGCGTCTGTACTCATGTTAGAGTCGGCAGCAAAGGCGTCTGCTTCCATGTTAGGAACGGCCTCAAACTACAGGCAAAGTCAGACTTTCACCAAAGTGTGCCTGGATCATGGTGCCATGATCAACGAAAGCTGCACCCCTACACCCCATTCCATGAGATCTGCTCGAGGAGCATGAACTCATGGAATTCGTGTAATCTTTACACAAGGGGATAAGAAACAACAACAACAACATTTGATCTGTTATTGACCATCACTCACAGCTCTAGTGACCTACTGGTAATTTTCATGACCTTTCCAGCCCGCTCTTTGTAGGTCTTGCTTTCTTTCTTCTTCCTTCACTTTTCCCAACTTCATCATTTTTTCTAATTCATTTGATCTCATTAAATTACCGAAGTTGGTCACTCTTTGTTTACGTATTTGGGGCTCTAGAGATCTACCAGGATTAATTTCATTTAAGAATGTCCTATTATCTGTCGATGGCAATTCTGAGTAGCCTTCTCCATGTCTACATTTCAAAAGCTTCACTTTTTTAATCTTTTCTAAGAATCCAGCTCTCACATCTATAAGTGGCCACAGGGAATATTTGTCTTGAAAGAAATGCCTTTATCTTTCATAATCTTGTCCAAATTCATCACTGCATCCATTCCTAGTGCTATTCTTCTTTTTACTTCCTCTAAGCAACCTCCCATCTTATCGATCCTGGGTCCTAAAAAAATGAAGTGATTAACTATATCAATTTTTTCTTGTTGAATTTGAAAGATAAATTTAGTTTAAAACCAAAATTTTAATTTTCTTCTTCAACTTTCTCAATAATATCTTTTAGGTCTTCCTTGTTTTCTGTCAGCAGTGTGGTGTCATCGGCATAGCAAAAATTGTTTATGTTCATTCCCCCAATGTGTACACCTGTTTCATCAAGATCAATAATCTCATTAAAAGTCCAGCTTATAATGAATTCTCATTCACATATTGACATCAGGATCTTTAAAAAAAAAGATGGTTGAATATATAATGCATTTAACTATTTCTTTTTAGCCAATAAATAATTTAGCTATTTTAATATAACCATCTTTTATTAGGTCAATCCTTTGATGATTTAAGTTAAGGTTACTTTTACTAGAGGAATAGAATTAAAATGCTATGAATACCTATCTTTTTTATATATATGAGCTCTTATATTTATTATTTTTAATTACTTGTCTCTATGTATAATAAATTGTCCCTTGTTAGCCATGCATTTTGATAAATTGCTTGTTATACGAGGGTGAGTAGAAAAGTAAGGTCTTCTACGAGATAATTTCCGAACACGCGTTGCTAGGTGAAATCCGACAACACCGCTGCCTTCCTTGGTGGAAGTGTATGGTGAGAAGTGCATGGACATCAAAAATGTGCGGAAATGGTGCCGGGAGTTTAACGAGGGGCGGATAAACGTCCACGATGAACAGCGGCCTGGGCGGCCGAGTTTGCCGGAATCAACCGTAGCTCGAATCGACGAAATGGTGCGCGCAAACTGGCGGATAACCCTTGAAGAGATCGAGGATGGCCTGAATGAAGATTGCAGCCACTTCTCCGTGCACAAGATTGTGTCTGAGACCCTCGGCTACAGAAGTGTCCGCCAGGTAGGACGACAAGTGGCTCAAAGAGGCGGCGGGAGAGTGGTACAACACCGGAATTACAAAGTTGGTTGACAGGATGAAAAAAGTGATTGAGCATCAAGGCGACTATGTAGAAAAATAGCAAAGTGTCCAACCTTTCCAATGATGTATAAAAAGTTGTGATTAAATGTGTTTTTCTATTTTAAAAAAATAGGTGACCTTACTTTTCTACTCACCCTCGTATGAACCATAGTAACCCAAGAATAATTTGAATAGGAAAAAAATTTTTTTTTTGTTTTGAAATTTTACAAGCTTTTGATCAATAGTATTTGCTAGTTGAAGAGCAAAATTTGTTCAAAAGTTTGCAAAACCTCAAAACAAAAAATAAACTTTTTGCCCAAATTCTAATTTTTCTTTATTTCAATTACTTGATAGTAAATGTCCTGAAGACCAAATAAGTGAAGTAAATGTGTTGAACACCTCTTTCTATTATCCAGGAATGCATTTTGGTTGTCTTCAAGAGATTTCTTATCTTCATGTAATGCCCACATGTGTATGTAGCCTTCAAGTGCTGCTACTGCATGTGCTTCAACCCCTCGCGCAAGCAGCGACCCCATGCTCCAAAGCTAAGTTCTATTCCTGCCCTGCCAGCCATTGAATCACCTGACCGGGAGGAAGAGGCTCTAGGTGAGGCTTTGGTCTACTTAACACATTGTATATGCAGGCTTTGTAAAAATAAATTCTGTCCTTTTTTAAAAATTATTATACACTGTAGTCTTGTTATAACAGCCTCTTTTGTAACAGCAATATGGTTATACCCACCCAAAATCTTGGTGTCAAGTATGTTGAAGTGAAATTCGACTGTAGATTTATATTTTGTCATATGTTCTAGGTCCAATTAGCTTACTACTAATGACAAGAAGGACATTACAGAGATGTAAAGTTTTTTTAAAGCCTTTACTCAACTTTCTTCCATGTCTGTGTCACCCCACAAATATTGTAATAAATTTTTAATATACTTACAGAGCATAAAGAAGTCATGGAATTTGGTACTCTTGTACAAACCTGATTACATTGCAAGTTGGCAAGATTTTAGACTTCTGGGTAATCTACCACACAATGGGCTAATTTCTTTACTTTCTTTCAAACTTTATGATTTATTTTAATATACTTACTTAGTAGTCATGAAATTTGGTATACTTGTTCAAACCTGATGGCATTACATGTTGACAAAATTTCAAACTTTTGGTTGGTCGGGGTGGTCGGCAATGGAGTAATTTCTATATATACTTTCAAATTTTGTGATCAATTTTAATATACAGTAGAACCTCCCTGTAAAGGACACTTAATTGCAGCGCCAAAATGTCCTTTAGGGAGAGGTGTCCTCTTACCAGAGAGTTGCTAAATTGTAAAAATGATAATTTTGAAAATGAAAACTGTCCTTTGTGGAGAGGTGTCCACTAGCGGGGTGTCCTCTAAAGGAAGGTTCTACTATACTTCCAGACCATACAGAAGTTTGAAAATTTACATACCTCTGTATATATGTATGTTATATAAAAATGTTATTTTATTTTAAATTATAATTTCATAGATTTAAATACTCTGCTAAATCGACCGCCAGAGGTCATGCTTGCCCTATAAAATCTCATTGTTGTTCTTCGCCGCTGGTCGGCTCAAAACTTTGTACATTATGTAAATAATCTTTTGTTTTCTTTGTTCACTCGCCTTAAGCCAGGCATTACTTTTTACCAAATTATGTTTATCCTAAAGCTCAATTAAAACAATCTCTTATCAAAACTATTTTTATTATTTTACTTTCAAGATTCTAGCCATGACTGCATCACCAATACCATTTAGTCCTAAAAAAGAACCAGCAAATAACTAACATAGTATAATCCTCAAGATAATTAAATACAAGCAGAAAATCTCATTCATCTTTTATTTATAATATGTATACCTTGTATACAGCTAACAATGCAAGTTGACAAAAATTCTGACTTCTGGATGGCCGTTAATGGACTATTTTCCATATTTCCTCTCAAATTTTGTGATCAATGAAAAATATCAGAGCATGCCTTTTAAATAGTTGGTACTGTTATCAGTTGTGCAAACAAGATAACTGATAAGGAGAAAAATAAATAATTTCTAAAGACCCTAAAATGCTATTTTTTTTAATTAGAAGTTGGAGAAAAAAAGTTCAAATATAATTAAAAGCACATATCTGTAAATATCATTAATATTTCCTCCATTCTGTTAATGTGGCTCACTTCTTTT